ACATGTTATGTCACTGGTAATTGCACCGTGCTTGAAATTGTTGGTTAAATAAGGAATATAGGATGAATTCTTAAAAAAATTGTAAGAAACCAACCCCTACAAGGCGGCACGGGCGAATCCTCTAACGCTGTCGCTACCAATCCCTACTCTCCATCTCTTCCTTGCCACCGGCGGCTGGCAGTGGGCCCTTTCCTCTCGCGTGGGTGTTCCAAATCTCGCGCTGGTCGGCTTGCCATCGTGGATCTCGCCGCGCCGCTTGGGGTGCGCCCCGTGCTCCCAAGACCGGCGTGCTCTGCAGTTGGCTCCTGCAGCCCCCCATCCATGGGCTCCTCGCCTTGGATCGCTGGACTGGTGCTCGGTACATGGCTACATATCCAATGCTGCGACCTCCTGTGGTTCCTTTCCGTCGACCTTGGCATGCCAAGGCTCTAGGGCCGCAGTCTTGGGTTGACCCAACGCAGTTTGGAGGTAGTGATCCAAATCCAGTCGGTCGGGGGGTGGTGGTTGCACACTGTGTTGCAGTGACCTTCAGTTCCACGACAACGGTGGTCATTGAAAGATATTCAAGAGGGTTCATCTCTCCAGATCTGGTGTTTTACTTTGATAGTGAGATGCAAACTGTGGACTACGGCTTGTCGCGGAGGGATGGTTCTGCAGTGGCGGCGATCACACATCGCATGTAGCTGCCGGGATCACGAAAAAGTGGTGGCGACAATGCATGAGTGACTTTGATGGTGGTGCTACTCGAGCACCCAATCTAGAGCTCTAGAGTGAAAGCCTAGGTCTGAGTCGAGTTGGTTATACCTGGCAATGGCAAAAAATCTTATAGCGTTACCTTATTGAGGGCATTGCTCAGATATGTTCGGTCTGATTCTTTAGGGTCAAAACCTAGATTCTGACATTTGTTCTTCGATCTAGTGACGACGACTCTTGAGCGCCGCTCCCTTCCTGAAGGCATTGTTGGTGAAGAACATTGTCGTTTTGTGGTGACATGCGATGGTTGGTGCAGATATGGCCGTTGCCGTAGTTTGCCGCTTATGGATCAGATTGCTTTGGGCCTTTTTCATTTTCTTTTCTCGTCGATGCATAACTTTGGTCTTATGACTTTGCTAGCTGTTAGCGTGTTTGTGTGTGTTGATGTTCGCTGTGTGGATCCTAACTATGCAGGTGTGTGCTCATAGTGTTTGTATCCTTTTGATGTCCCATTTTAAGCAAATAAAATCCACCCTTTGTCGAATAAGATAGGAAGATATAAGACAGAACAAACGACTAAGAGTCTAGGCCGTGTTTGGTAGTTTTTTTGAGTATTTGGAGAATACTATTTTTTTTTAGAAATCACATTTTTAGAAAAATTTGAGGCATTTGACACCAATTAAACACTACTTCTATAAACTATAGTATCCCGAACACCATGCTTTTTTTTGGATCTGAGAAAGAGGCCTCAACCTCCATTTTGTAAACGAAGTTAGAAAAGCCAGGGTATATAAAAAAACTGGAGTATTCTGTTCAAGCATTGGAATAACGAGGTTTTAGATTACTACAGTTTTGTAAAAACTTGTTGCCAAACTAAGCCTAAAGTGAATAAACATAGTATTCACCAGCATCTAGGTATTTCTTAAAACGTTCAGTACTACCGTCGAGGATTCCGCAAACTAAAGATAAGCATGGACATTTTGTATTTTAAAAATAAATAATAAAATTAATATTTTGCTTCAGAGCTTGGAGTCTATTTTACATGTGTCAATTAGGGCTTGTTCGGACTTTCTATAAGACGATGGCTACATGTTAAGACAATGCATACCGTCCCCTCATAAACAAACATGTTGCATACATAGTTCATTGTAAACTTACATATGTCATGCCTTTCAAGCTTTATCATAAAAAGAACAAGTAAAGAAACACATATTTGTGAGGTATTGTCTAATTAGATCATGCAAGAACACTTTTACGTCTACGTTTTTTCCTAAGGTAAGAATTCAATTAACCGGTGCCAGAAGGACAACACTACGAGAGTAGAACCAAGGAACAATAAAAACCAAATCCATATACCATTTCTAGGTAAATTTAAAATCAAGAGATGCCACTTGATTTTGGTTCCATTTGTCTACGTCATAATATAAAAACACATTATTTAACAATGCCTACAATTTTCTACATGTAAATATCGTTATGTGCTACTAGGGTTGCATCATTTCATCTCCAAATGTCTAAGAAGATAACATCGGCGTCTTGTTTTTCTTATAACAACCCTATCATACTGTCACAACTGAACCAAAACAACATGACACGTGGACATTTCGTATTTGAACTATAAACAATAAAATAAAATATGTCTCTAGAGCTTGAAGTCTATTTTCTTAAGATACATCACGGCTTGTTTGAACTTTCTATACACGGCCATGACTAGAAGTTAAGATGTTGCACAAATCATTCATGAAAAAGTTTAGCTCTTATTGCAATACCCATCATAATCTATCTTTTCATGAAGTTACACTTGTCATGCATTTCAGGCTTGTAATAGAAATATGAGTAAATCGGTAGACCTATCTGTAAAACATGGCCTAATTGATCACTCCATGCAAAATGTTACTCCCTCCGATCCAAAAAAGTGGCATGATTTAGTTCAAAT